CTCTATGTCCACAGTCACATGACTAGTTTCTGAGCATTTCTTACATCTTAGTTTTACCTTATATGGCACTCGCTCTCAATATTCATTCTGCAGCCAAATTATTTGAGAAAATAAAAAAATACATTCAAATGCTCAATGACTCACCCCAGGAATTACTTTTGAATGAGGCCTGGGCTTTGGTATTTTGGAAAAGTTCTATCATTCATTTGGGATTGTAAACCATGTCTTTACGATCTTCACAGATGAACTGGACCATATAGAAATAATCTGACTAGGAAATATCATTGTGACCAAAGGCCACCAAAATTATGTCATGGGCCTCTGGTAATTACATCCTTAAGCAAAACTAAATAAACAAAAGCAAAACCAAAAACTTGTTATTTTTGTTTTAATTGATATATCCCAAGCTGTATCAATTTTAACAAAAATGACAGAGGTTTTGGACAAAGGTGATGCACTGCATCCTCAATCACAAAAGGGCTAATACTAGTTACATAAGCATGACATGAATATAGGGGAATGTGTGACTTGTCCAAAGACAGGCTGATGCCAATTTTTAGAAGCAGTGTTTACATTTTGGGGCCCAGATTTTACTTGGAGTTCCAGTTTAACAGCCTATCTAGAGTTGTGTTCACGTGCTAATTTGCTCAGTCACTGAGGCTGACAGCCATTGTTGTTATTCTGTAGCCTTTCAGCCCACTTTGGGTTAAAAAACAGTACCTACCTTTTCCTCATCCACTACTCTCAAGTCATTTGGTTTGAGTGAGAATGAACTGAGCTTCAACTCCAGAAATGGGCCCTGATTCCATTGCCTTGGCCATAGTAGTCGGTCCAAAGATAAGCTAGAATCTGATCAGAGGAGGAGTTCTGTGAAGAAGAAAGTATCCTCTCTCTTCCAGGAGGAAGAAGGTCTTATACAGCCCAGGGATGGTGCCAGATGAGAGGATAAGCAGCTACAGCCATCAGTAACCGCTATGGGAGTAACTGCAGCAAACAGGGTATGATGCCTGTAGGTGCAGCAGCTCTGCAGCGGGCGGAGAGGAGACACAGAGAACAGGTCTGTCTTAAAGCCAGGCCCAACAGGCTCTTTTCCATAATGGGAACCAATACATTTCTTTGATTTATTTAAGCAAATGAAAATTTTAAATCACTTGTAACCTGAAGTTTGAATTGATATGCTGTCTTTATTTGAATTAAAATAGTCAATATTGGTACACCTTCCTGTCTAATATTCTTTTTTTGTTGTTACTGTTGTTTTGTGGGGGGAGGCAATTAGGTTTATTTATTGAATTATTTTTTTAATGGAGGTACTGGGATTGAACCCAGGACCTTGTGCATGCTGAGCATGTGCTCTACCACTTGACCTGTACCCTCCCCTGCCGTCCAATATTCTTAATTCTTCCTATTACTTTAAATAGCTCCCAAAAATGTAACCATGATTCTGAATTTTTTTTTCCAGAGGTGATGGAAATTCAGGTCCCTGACTGAGAAACAGAATTATTAGGATGAAGTATAATGAGGATTTTGTGGATTTATAGCACCTTTCCACCCCAGACACTATTGAAAGAGATAAGATTCAGTCTAGTTACTATCATGTCACATTATAAAGTGTGTAGTATGTGCTCCATAGTATTTATGAGCAGTAATATGTTTATATGTTTTATAAAACAGATCAAAGGAATATAATTAATTAATCTGATCAAATGTTTATATTGAATTTACATGTTAAGGACCATAAAGTAAGTAAAATAATTATGAGTATAAATTAGATTGTATAATCATAATTATTGGCAGACTCAACGAATATTTATTTCATGGTAATTAAATTTATTCAATAACCTTGTGTAATCCATATTTACAAGGTTTGATAATTGTTGTCCACCACAGTCAAAGGTAGACATGTCACTGGAAAATACAAAACACTAGGTATGCTCATTGCTACTGGAATATCATTGCTTCCAAGCCTTCTCAGATACCAGAGCAAGGAGCCATACGTACGTATACTAACCTGCGCACATATGTACCTGTTGATAAATATTTCTATACATGACAAGCTCTAACCCATTTCAATAAATGTATAGTTTGTCCTTAGGAATGCTCGCAATTTGGGACACAATTCAATCATTTTATCAATGTTTTATCAGTGTATCCAAATCCATTGTTCTTCCACACCCACCTATCCCCAGGCTAAAAGACTACATTTCTAATCTTTCTTTGCAGCTAAGAATGGCTAAATGACTAAATTCTGGCCAGCGGGGGAAGGGAAATTGTGTAGTAGGACTTACAGGAAGAATTCTGAAAATGAGGACAATCCACTGACACACCCTTTTCCTTTCCTTTTTCCCTTTCTTTTCTGTTTTCTGGAACCACCAGCAGCCACTCTGGATCATGAAATAATCATGAGGCCACATACCAGCGCCAGATAGTAAAACAAAAAGAGGAGCCTGGATCTTTGATAACTCAGAGTTTCCATAATGACCCTGGTTTGCCTACATCTAGACTTCTCTTCTATGAGGATAAACCAGACTGCTATCACTGGCCTTTCCGTTTCATTTCGCCAAACCTGATGCTAACTGGTATAATTATTTTTCTTTTTTGGGGGGAGGGGCAGGTAAATAGGTTTGTTCGTTTATTTAATGGAGGTACTGGGGATCAAACTTCATGCATGCTAAGCACACACTCTACCACTTGAGCTATACCCTCCCTCTAACTGGTGCAATTTTTGAAAGTATCTTTGGATATAGTTTCTTAATCAAACGTGATCATTTTCTTGACTGCTTGCTTATTGTCTGCCTCTCTCCTCCTCCCCCAAAAAAACTTCTTGAGGAAGGTCATTTGTTTATTTTTTTTCCCTTCCAGTTTTATTGAGATATAATTGACACACAGCACCATGTAAATTTATGGTATATAGCATAAGGATTTGAATTATATATATCATGAAATGATTACCACAATAAGTTTTGTGAAGATCCATCATCTAATACAGATGCAAAATAAAAGAAAAATGAAGAAAATTTTTTTCCTTGTAATGAGAACTCTTAGGATTTACTCTTTTAACTTTCATACATATCATATGGCGTGTAAATTGTATTTATCAAGATGTACATTACATCCCTAGTACTTATTTATCTTATATTTGACTACCTTCATCCAGTTCTCCTGTTCCCCACCCCCTGTCTCTCTTAATCACAAATCTGATCTTTTTCTATGACTTTGTTTTTGAAGTATAATTGACCTACAATACTATATTAGTTCCGGGTGCACAGTATAGTGCTTTTATTGTTCTATACATTTCAAAATGAACACCATGATAAGTCTAGTTACCACCTGTCACCATACAAAGATATTACATAGGTTTTGACTATACTCCCCACAGTGTACATTTCATACTTGTGACTCATTTGTTTTGTAACGGGGAGTTTATAAGAAGAAAGTCATTAAGAATTGAGTCCTAAAGAGTGTGGTAGAGAAGGGATACCAGAACTTGTTGTGGAAAAGAAATTGAGAGACAGAGGGAGGGAGAGAGAGAGAGAACCTGGGAGCTCAGTGATCTGACAAGAGAGACAGTATCATTTTATCATGGAGGTGAGAGATTAACAGTAATAGCTTGGGGACAGATGTTAACAATAATTAGATCGCACAGGCCTTGTTGGGAAAGTCTTTTTCCTCTTTCCCAGATTCTGAGGACATGAATATTAGATCAGTTATGATATGGATCGCTGAAGCCATGGGTTTTCTTTTTTTTTCCAGTCTATTTTCCTCTCTGTTGTTGAGATTGGGTAATTTCTATTGTTCTAGCTTCCTGTTCACTGATTTTTAGCTCCAATCTGCTGTAGAGCTCATTCGTTGAGATTTGTTGTTGTTGTTTTTTAATTTGTTATTACATTCTTCAATTATAAAATTTCCATTTATTTCATTATATCTGCTATTTCTTTGCTGAGACTATTTTTTTCCATTTGTTTTAAGTGTGTTCTAATCATTCACTGAAACATTATTCTGATGGCTGCTTCAACATGTTTGTCAGATAATTTTAACTTCTCTGTCAGTTTTGTATTGACTTTTTTTCCCCACTAGTTTGCAGTCTTCTTGGTTCTTGGTATGATGAGTGATTTCCAATTGAAACACGGATTTTGGGGTATTATAACACTCTGGATCTTATTTTAATCTCCTATTTTAGCTGGCTTTTTCTGACATTGCTCTGGCAAGGGGATGGAGGAGAGACACCACTTCTGTCAATGCCAGGTGGGGACAGAAGTCAGGTTCCCCATTTTGCCTCTGTTGACACCAATGCGGTGGGTGGGGGTGGGAATTTCAACTCCCCACTCGGCTCCCACTGGTACTCCCCTAGCTGAGAGGGGTAGGAATGCTCCCCATGTAGCCTCCATGATACCATGGCGGGGAGGGGTGGCCTTCTTACCGCTGGGTAGTGGTGGAAGTCCAACCTCTCCATTAGGCCCCTCTGACTCCACTCTGGCCAAGAAAGAGAGGGGTGCCTCATTACTGTCAGGTAGGGGTGGAAGTCCAGGCTCCCTACGTGGTGTACAATGACACCTTGGGGATAGGGGTGGAGAGCGTCTGTGTATGTGTGGATGGGTACTCATTACCATCCAGCAGTGGGAAAAGTCTTGTCTCTCTACTTGGCCTTCTCTGACACCACATAATGGGGTGGAGGTGTAGAGGGACTAGGGTGTTAGGATGTTGGGGTGTCTCATTATGGCCTTGAAGTGTGGAAGCCTTGACCCCTCACAAGGCCTTTGCAGGCCGGGGTGGAGGTGGGGCCACAGGTTTGTATTATGTAGTGTTTGTCTACAGTAGTGTGGTTATTTTTTAAAGGTTATCTGTCTTGCTAAGTTGCCTCTTTTTTGGTCTTTTGGCTAAAGAGAGCAGCCTTTTACTGGGACATTATTGTTTGTGCCTCTTGGCAATTTTGGATTTCTGGTTTTTGGTTCTTCACTACCCGTATGTGATATAAAAGGCTAAGCAAAAACCCAAGAATTTACCTTTGTCTTCCTCTTTGGATCCTAAGGTCCTAGCTGGTATGCCTTCTTTTCTCCACCATTCAGTCTTACTGTTATGGAGCAAAGGTCATGTGCCTGCAGAGTGGAAAGCCAAACTCTGACAGTGGGTGTTTGCAGCAAAGTAAGGGTTTATTTGCACCATCCCAAGCAAGGAGAACAGGCAGTTCATGCTCAAAAGACCTGGGCTCCCCGATGGCTTTCAGGCAAATATATCTACTACATCCTCCCAGAAGCAGAAGTCAAGAGCCTATGTTGCACTGAAACACAATTTCAAGAAAAACTATGTGGCAGAGACTTGGGGAGAAGGTGCAGTGCCTTTCCAACAAAGACATCAGTAAGGCAATCAAATAAAGCCAGCTGTTGGCAGTAACTGCCTCTGCAATACAGTAAGATCTGTGAGCATCTTCAAACAGTAATAGTTACTTAAAAAAATCATAGTGCTTATGAGAAAACTTTCATGAAAATCTCAGAGCCTTAATTTATGAATCAGTACAGGAATTCTGGGAGGAGACATTAAATTACATGATGTAAGGATATGGAGAAATTGAGACTTATACCCTGGTCCTACTTAAGCAAAAAGAATCAAACTTTCAATGCTGCTCACTCTTTTTTCAAAGCCATCACATCAGTTGAAAAAAAAAAAAAGCCAATAAAAAGACCTCATGTGCAGCTGTAGCTCTGCTTGCTCTCTTTTCTGAACTTCTCCTCTCCCCTTCCAGCCCTAGGGAAACACTGTTTGTAGAGGCAGACTTTTGTAAAGCAATACTAATTTTCAAGAAGAGAGCCCCATAAACAACCTAGAGAAACAAAAACAGTAGTTCCCAATAAAAATGACAAAAACCATCTGATTGGATATAAAAACCTCAAGAGGACTGGGATATGCACTTTAGGAGCTGTGAGATCAAATTGGTATGTTGGCCTGTGTTGTAAATAGCTCTGCTATGTAGGGTGACAGCTGAAAGGCAGACTGGCATTTCAATCGTTAATTATACAAACCTGCAGGCTACATTTATTGGCTGCAGGACGTCTATTCCAGCTGAATCTTAAATAAACCAGGAAGAGAGGATCAGATAGGAAATGCTCCAGAAACCAATAAATAGATTTGGGAAGGGACCCAGATCTAGGAGACTGTCCCAATAGTTGAAATAATTTTTTCTTCCCATTCTTCCTCCCTTCCTCCTTTTTGGTTGATGTGGAGTAGAGAGCTGGGGTGGAGAGACAGCCAAAGAAGCGAATTGTTTTTCTACCAGTTACCAATGGGAATCTTGCCCTCTGTACCAGTTTCTGGAAACATTGCTAGCATGCCCAGAACCCTGGGGGAGCCTGCTTGGAAATTATCCAATTCCTTTAGGTACTTTGAACTCCATGAGTGACTGGGCAGAGGTAAAAATGGTCAAAGTTAAATTTGTTGACTCTGCTACTTAGATTAAAAGGTTGGGTAAGAACAACCTAGGCAAATGAACAAATAAAATGAACTTATGGGGGTGGTGTACACCCAGGGGTTCCTATTGCCCTAGTCACTCCTCACTCTTTCCTCCAGTACTATCTTTCTGAAAAGGCCACAAGTCTTCCTTTCGTGTGCTCATGACACCCAATACAAAAGAGGTTACTGGGGGAGGGGAAGCCCTGCAATTATGGCCAAAGGGCCGAGAGATTCAAGTATGTACACCAAGCACAGACAGAAGAATGAGCAAATCTCCTTCTGACAGATAAACGTATACACTATTTTCTGCGTGTTCACTTACCTTCATTTTTGCTTGTGAAACGGATGCAGAATTTTCAAACATTAGAAAAATATATATTGGAATAAACAGTGCAAGTTCCTAGTAATTCTATCCCTCAAAGAGAAAAATGTTGTTTTTCTGCTATTTTTCATATCTGTGGAGAAACTGCTGGGGTAAATAAAATCAAATGGATTTGAAACAGTTATTACTGGTATTCATGGTAGATTTCTGTGACTGTTTCTCAATGAACAGACACTAAAAATACAAATGTTAACATTAGGAGACCCACATCATTGAGGTTAAAAATGGATCCCTGTACTGGGAGACCGCGAATTTCTGCTGTTGCCTAAATACTGCTGCAGCTGCCACGAGTCAAAGTTCTGTCCTTGCCTGCAACACGCGCAGTTACAACACTCCGAGGGGGCGGCTCTGGGAGGGGTCAGGTGCTCCAAGGAGGCGGTAGTGACAGCCACCGCCTCCCACACACCCTCCGCCTTTCCGTAAACAAGGAGACTCCAGCCCACGGTCTGTAAATGAGGGAAGGGCTTGAGGTGGGGCCAGGGTTCACGACGTGAGCGTCAGAAAAGGCCCCCTATTGGTGGTTCGCGAAGGGCGGAGGAGAGAGGAATTCTGATTGGTCTTCTTCCCTGTCCGTAAGGGGATTGACCGCCAGG